TTATACAAAACCAGTAGTATGCTTCGCCTAGTAAAAAGTAGTTGCAGGTACTAATTTCTAGTAAATTAATAACAACTTCTAGTAAATGAACAAAACCAGTAGTATGCCTCACCTAGTAAAAAATAGTTGCAGGTACTAATTATTAGTAAATTAATAACAATTTTTAGTAAATGAACAAAATCAGTAGTAGTATATCTCACCTATTAAAAAAATAGTTGGTTACTAAATTCTAGTAAATTAATAACAACTTCTAGTAAATGAACAAAACCAGTAGTATGCCTCACCTAGTAAAAAATAGTTGCAGGTACTAATTTCTAGTAAATTAATAACAATTTTTAGTAAATGAACAAAACCAGTAGTACATCTCACCTATTGAAAAATAGTTACAGGTACTAATTTCTAGTAAATTAATAACAACTTCTAGTAAATGAACGAAACCAGCAGTACGCCTCACCTATTAAAAAAATAGTTGGTTACTAAATTCCAGTAGATTAATAAGAATTTCTAATAAATGAACATAACCAGTACTAAGCCTCACCTATTAAAAAAATAGTTGCAGTTACTAATTTCTAGTAAATGAACATAACCAGTACTATTCCTCACCCATTAAAAAGATAGTTGCAGTTACTAATTTCTAGTAAATTAAACTATAAATTGGGTTCCTTTAGCAAAAATGGGGTCGACCGTCTCAAACTGTTCGGTTCTTTTTTTCTCTCGGGATAATGGACGTCGCAAAAATGTGAGTTTCACATTTGTCATTGTTCGGCATTGTTCTCTTCGAAAACATGCCACTGGCTTGTTGCACCGACCGAAGCCGGCGAAATTCACCAGACAGTAGTAAAGCTTCTATAGCTAGCTTATAAAGTGGAGGATTTGCCGCTAACGGTTTAAACCTCGGGAAGGTCATGGTCTATTACCGACGTCCGTAAACACAAATTCGCGACAATGAAACAGACGTTGGGTTAGCGACAAACCTTGAAGAGTCCCCGATTGGTCGTGTTAAATCAACCGATAGGTCGATGCAGGACGTCCTTCGATTAGTTCGATTGAAAAAGTTTACGGCTTAATTCCCCGCTCGGCAAACGAGGCGATTTATCTAAATACTAGGAAGATTTATCTAAATACCTACGTTGCCGACGTTCGATTTTATATTGATAGCCGTATCGAATTATATTGGGTATAGTACTAAATGGTATACTCCATGTGTCGTTTTCATGCAATAATTATAAAGAAATCCATGTAAAACTCCAGAAATCCCTTGGATTCATGGTTTCTGAGGCTCTAATTGACTGCAGAGGGACCCCCTGCGCCATCTGTGATTTCCATGTCAACTAAATTTTCACTCCGAGACCTCGTATTACCATCGTTTTAGCATATCAGCGCATAAGACACTTTTTTTGTCTTTATCCCGTTCAAATGGGTTTTTCGATTACCAGGGTGTTCTAAATTGTCGTACAATTGTTCTGACATCTTCGTTTCTCATATCAGAGCCTTCAATGATTGGATATCGATAAAAATATGAGAGCTCGAAGCCATCTTCGTTCTGGTCTAGGTTAGGTCATAAAAGTTTTTTTTGAAAATCCAAATTTTGAAAGTGTCAGGACAATTCTTAGGTGCACACGAGTCACGTGTCAAAGCTTCAGACGGTTCAATACAATACCCTTAAAAAAAAGTGTCTTATTCGAATCGACTAATTTCAGGGGGGTTTCACTTCACCTTAACTCAGAGAATAATCATTTCACTCAAATAAACTCGAATAAATTGGATGCAACGTTTCTTCGGAATTATAACAATTTACTCGAGTCTATGAATTATTCTTCGTAATTAAAAGAATAAATTCTAAATTGTCGTACAATTGTCCTGACCCTTTCGTTTCTCCTATTGGAGCCTTCAATAATTGGATATCGATCGAAATATGAGAGCCGACGCCATTTTGCTTCTGGTCTGTGCTAAGTTGAAAAATTTTGTTGAATAATCCAAATTTTCAAAGTGTCAGGATAATTCCTAGGTGCTCACGAGTCATTTGACAAAGTTTGATTGTTTTATCCAATATCCTTAAAAAAAAAGCCTTATTCAATTCGACTGATTTGAGGGGGGTTTCACTTCACCTTAACCCTTTGAACGCGGAGCCATTTTGACAGATGGGCGAAATTCGTCTGACCGTGCAAGCAATATTGGACCAAACGTCGGACGCCTTTAGGCGCTCTCAGTAGCCAAAGGGTTAAACTGACACGTATCGTTAGCCGGCGAATTTTTTACGGTAACAGTTTAACAGGAGTTATCGGCCGAGCTATTCATCAACTTAACATTAACTTTCACCCGGATTTGTTCCACCTGAAATTATATTCCTTATTATTTATGGCACGAAAACGTCTGCGCAAAAGGGAGTCCACGTAAGTTGCAAAGCAGATTTTAATGTTTCGCGTTGTATAATGGGATATCCAAGGTTAACTTCATTTCTTATCTTTTTTTTTTTTTACAAGATACTACGCTTGTTTATCTGCATCTTTTTATATCTTTTCTATTACAGCGAAAGTGCTATAAAGTTCACTAAGCTATCGTAGGAGGTTATTAGAGATCATCAATTGGCGATTTTTACCTTATATAAGCTATTTGAAGTAAACTAAACATTTCGTTAAGTAAACAAATAACTCGGGATAGAAAATTATTGTACTAAATTGGATTTCATTTCAAAACGAAATTTTTTTATTATATATACGCAGAAGGCATTTAAGAAGCAGTTATTAATATTAACTATTTGAAGTAAACTAAACGTTTCAGCAAACAAATAACTCGGGATAGAAAACTATTGTATTAAATTGGATTTCATCCCGAAACGAAACCGTATGTTTTCATTGTATATACCCAGATGGCATTTAATCAGCAATTATTAATATTAACTATTTCAAGTAAACTAAACTTTCATTAAGCAAACAAATAACTCGAGATAGAAAACTATTGTACTAAATTGGAATTCATCTCGAAACCAAATGTTTTTAATGTATATACCCGGAAAGCATTTAAGCAGCAATTATTAATATTAGCTATTTGTAGTAAACTAAACGTTTCATTAAGCAAACAAATAACTCGGGATAGAAAACTATTGTACTAAATTGGAGTTCATCTCGAAACGAAATGTTTCTATTGTATATATCCATAAGGCCTTTAAGCAGTAATTATTAATACTAGACGTTTATTTCTTTTTTAGTAAATCACTTTTTTCGACAATCGAACGTCGAAACTCGAATTATTACGGAACATGAGTTTAGCGATAACATTTGTTTAGTTTCTCCGCTTATCGGATCGGATTAGTCAAAGTAGTTGATCTGAAACCAGGGCACTATGTCTGGCATCGATCTCAAAATCTAGGTGAGCATATGCCGCATTCTTTTTATGACAAATTATGCAACTGACTTATCTACCTAACTGCCATTTAAGGACCGTGTTTGCGCAATGAAGTATCAGCATGTGCTCAATACCTTGATTGTACATTTTACATAATGCACTCTGTAGGTACTAATCGACTCTACTTATGGCGAATCACGATGTTTTATATGCGATAATAATAACACGTGGAGAAAGAATGTTTATGGTATTCAAGTCACAAAAACGTATCCCATTGTACTCCATTACGAGAACATTAACTAGTCATTTAATGTAGCTGTTGTTAATACAGCTATACAGGGTGACTCAAGCTCAGCTCGTTAAGGTGTTATGAAAGTGTGATATATACATACCAAAAAGTGAAAATATTTATGAAACTTTTCTCCAAACTCGGTGCACCTAATTATCTGAAACTTTAACACGTGATTATGGAGGCTCTAAGGCGCTCTTACGCGCTGCCCGTGAAATTTCCTTTTTAGGAATAAAATATATTTTTTTTTTTTAGTTCCTGTCCGAGATAAGTGCAAAATTTATTTCACAAAATGTAATCTCACGAGCAGCGCGTTTTTCATTAGGGCTTCCATAATCACGCCCTTTCAATTGATTCGGTGCATTCAGTTTGGGAAAAAGTTTAATAATATTTTCTGCTTTCATGTATACCGAATGACTCTTTTATATCACGTTAAGGTCATGTGAAAGTGTCACATATACATACAAAAAAGTGAAAATATTTATGAAACTTTTTTTTCTCCAAACTCGGTGCACCTAATTATCTGAAACTTTAACACGTGATTAGGGAGACTCTAAGGAAGAACGCGCTGCCCGTGAAATTTCCTTTCTAGAAATAAAATATCTTTTTTTTTAGGTCCTGTCCGAAATAAATGCAAAATTTTGTTCGAAAAATGTAATTTCACGAGCAGCGCGTTATTCCTTAGGGCCTTCATAATCACGAGTTAACGTTTCAGATATTTCGGTGCACCCAGTTTGGAGAAAAGATTCATAAATATTTTCATGTTTTTCTTATATATATATCACACTTTCATATCACCTTAAAGGGCTACCGCGATTCTGGGTAATAAATTAGGGTATGAAATTAATATTTTATAGACTAACCACATCCTGACACCTCCAGCCTGACTCTCATGAAATTTCATGAGTTTGGTATGTATATATCACTTTAAGGTGATGTGAAAGTGGCATCAAAGAGGATTTCCTTATAGAACTTTTCTCTCAACTCGATTTACCGAATAGTTTGAAACTTTACAACGTGAATAGGGAGTCTATAAGGAAGATCCTGAAACTCATGAAATTTCAATTCTTTTCAAATTTGTTTATAGGTATTATAAAAATAGTTTATAAAAAAAGAAATTTTGCGAGTTTAAGGACCTACCTTAGAGTCTCCTTATTCACGTTTTAAAGTATGAAACGATTTGAGACACCCAGTTCGTATAAAAGTTTTATGAACGATTGAGCTTTCGGATGCCACTTTCACATCCCCTTAATAGGCATTTTGAGACACCCTGTATGTCGACGCTCTCAATACACGTCGATATGAAGAAAATTCTAACGTGACGTCAGTCCTAATATTTAACCGTGGTAAAATTCACCTGTTTAAGGTTGGGAAACCTCACGACGAAATGGACAAGATCGCGCGATTGCTGCCCTATGTCTCACACAGGGATGAAGTATTGGACATCATGGAACCAATCGATGTTAGCAAGTTACTTCCAGGTAAGTGCCACACTGGCATTGACGTTTACCCTCCAAACTACCCTAGTAGCAAAAAATATTTCTCCTATATCTTCTATATATTTAACGAATATCCTACTTAACTCAGAGAATAATCATTTCACTCAAATAANTGAAACTAAATATGTCATTGAGATTTTCAAGAAATATTTCAGATAGCTTCGAATGAAATGTACGAGAAGTCTGAAAAAATCTGTCGCTTGAGATATTTAGTAAAGTTTACAAACAAATATTTAAAAATTATTTTATGCTACTACGGTAGTAGCCAAAGGGTTAATAGGTGAATTACATGTCGACGTCTTTACGTCTTACGCCAGTCGCGTTACTGAGATTATACGTATGTTATATACGTTTTCTAGGTAATCCTCAGAAACTCTGAAAGCTACCCTAGTAGCATAGAATAATTTCTAATTATTTCTTTGTAATCTTTGCTAAATATCTCAAGCGACAGATTTTTTCAGATTTCTTGTAGATTTCATTCGAAGATATCTGAAATATTTCTTGAAA